AGAGCTGTATCAAGCTTCATCCACACAAATGAAAATTGTCCTTTTCCTTTCTTTTATTGGTTTCTGTTTCTATGTGTATCTTTATCCTAGGAGGCAATATTTATAAAAATAAAAATCATAATATACTAACTAGAATTGTTATGGGGTTACGTGTATTCTGATGGATGTGCATAAGAGATGGGACCTTTTCTGTCATGGCCCCTGTTTGCAATGAATGCAGTCCCCCTAGGAAGCTCAATCAGCCATCTTCTTTGGTTTCCCATCACTTAGGAAAGCTTATTTGGAACTGATTATTAGTCGGTCTTATTGCTGTTTTGGTTTTGACTTTCTTACAGTCTCTCTCTATGTGTGTAAGATGTGATATTATTTCAAATTTATTTATTTGGTCATTTTACCTAGTATTATATATTAGTAGCTTTAATTTTTATTATCTGAATAAATATTTATTTATGTGGTATTTATAACATTAACGTTACTCATATTAGTTAAGCAATAGTCATTTTGTGCAGGCTTCCCTGCATTGAAAAATGGAGTACAGTGGTTAAGAACTTAATTCATTCTGGAGATCCGTTCTTAACCTGAAACTGTTCTTAACCTGAGGTACCACTTTAGCTAATGGGGCCTCTCACTGCCACTGTGCCGCCGCCGTGCGATTTCTGTTCTCAACCTGAAGCAAAGTTCTTAACCCGAGGTACTATTTCTGGGTTAGCGGAGTCTGCTACCTGAAGCGTCTGTAACCTGAAGCATCTGTAAACCAAGGTACCGCTGTATATAAACACCTACTAATGAAACCAGGAGTAACCAACAAGATGCTCTACAGATGTTGTTGTATTCCAGCTTCCATCAGCCTCAGCCAACCATCAGGGATAATGGGAGTTATAGTCTAACAACATCTGAGGGGGCACTACATTTCCTATCCTTGTATGTACTAAATAAATATTCTAGAGTCCATACATTGATCAGATCCAATTCCAAGTGCAGCCCAGGGATGGGATCATTCACTAAAACTAAGGCCTCAATCTGGAAATCAAAGCAAGAGGAAGCAGAAGAGGAAACATTAGAAACCTAATGTAAAACTGTATAGTATTCCAGAGTTGTAAAATGGCCAAAATGACCACATCTTCAACAATGAATGGAAGATACCCGATTTCAAGGATGTTCTATAAGTGGTAACCAGTATGTTGGACTCCCAGTTCTCACTGCATGTCCACCTGCATCCCACCAGTCACTGCTTCCACCACCATCCGACTCATAGCAGATGGCTGTCTGAAGTGAGGAGACTTCTATGCTCCTGGAAGTTCCCCATCTGTTCCAGAGCCCTGGTTTTCCAGAGTTCTGTAATGAACAAGGAACCTCACTGCGTACAGGGGCTGTACATGTCAGTCAATCACCCTCCTAACAGTAAGGGCAATACAAGGGTAGAGTCAGAACACTCATCTTTGCTGCCTCGCCTCACATGTTTTCTTTCTACTTTATCATGATGCCTGATTCTGCAGTCAGCTCTCCAGTGGAAGAGAGCTAGAGGCATCACTCATGCAATCGAAAGTGCCAAACACTTAAATCAGCCCCAGTTTATAAAAGGGGCAGCAGCAGCCGCCAAGAATGTAAGCATAATGGCAAGCTATAAATGCGACAGAATGGATGGGTAAAGGACTTTCCTTTTCACAAATTGTAACAATCCAACTGAGGGAAAAGTTAGCCCAGAATGTATGTCTTCTCATAGATTGCAAACTCTGCTTATTAGCAGATTCATAAAGACAGGACCTGTCCAAGACTTTTTGTTGCCTGCGGGTAAGGACAGGACGTCTAACTTCAGATGTCTTACTTTACAACAAGACATAGTGGCTTGGGGAAAAACATTCAGAGAAATAACTGAATCTGAGGGATGCACTGGGGAGGGTATTTCATTAGCAGCTCTTCACTGGTATGAAGAGGTGTTGCAAACTTCAGCACGCTACTGCCATAGATAACATTTGTGGAACAGCAGACTGCTGGTTCAAGAGTCAAGACCTACCCAGGCCACTGTTCCTGGCAAAACGTTGATTAAACACACATTTTCCAGGAAAGGGTCTTCTTAGTGATGAGCAATGCTCTGGAAGAGTGGAAGGCACAAGACCTTTTAGGCGTTGAATATAGCTGGTCAGCGGATGATAGCAAACACTATTATGGCAGCTGTAAATGGTGAGTACATATATAAAAGTGATAAAGAGTAAGAGCACAATTACTACTTGTGTGCTATATAAAGACTTGAGCTGCATATTGCTATGGATACCACGTCCTTGCATGGAAAGATCAGCCCACCAAGCAGGAGGAAAGGCAAAATAGCACTTCAGCGATCCATTAACTTTATAATATATAAGCTGGAAGGACACCTTAATTAATCTGACTATATTGCTTCACACTGACGTTAATGACGCTGCAGATTAAAAGGGGGGAACAGTATTGGCCTAACACAGATGCTGGAAGGATTAGAAGCAAAGGACTTCCAAAGGATTTGGCTACAATTTGAAAAAGAGACCATGTAGGTGATAATAAAAGGACTCTACCCCCCCCCCAAATTGTGATGCAAATAGAACAAATCTGGAGCCGGCATAAATTACTTCCTTTCCAGCAGGATGCATGGGGGTGAGCCAAGGGCTCCATAAACCTATTGTTTTTGCCAGCTTGCTATCTGAAACATGGGAGGGAAAGGGTCAGGGTTTGCCAAGCACTTTCAGGCCACAATCCATGGAATGTACCTGGCTTACGTTTCACAGTACATATGTCCATAGAACCAGAGCTGACTCCAGAGAAACCAGTTGTGTGGGTGGGGGGGTTGTGAAGATGTGGCAAAGACAAGGTCCATGGGAAATCGAGAACTGGAAGAAAAGGCCTGAATTCTGTCTCCTGGTGGCTACTATTTCTTTTTTGGCATTCTGAATGTTCATTCGTGAGCACTGCCTGCCACAGCCCATAAGCAAATTACTTAACCCTTCCAGTCTCAGTTTGCCCTCCTTGTTCAAAGGAGGAATTATATTCAGAAGCAAGGAGAGGATTTAACAGGTCTCTTAAAACAGTTAGCAAAGTGTTATTCAGAACTAAGTGGGAGGACGGAAGCAACGTCTCAGAGTTCTGGTAACAGTTCACTCAGTGAGCCAGATTCTGGGGGAGAAGTGGTCCCTAACAATGAAGGCAGCAAACCGCTTAGCAAATCGGGAAATGGGGACGATGCAATGCCCAATCGCGATGACAACACTATACAAGATGGGCAAACCTTTATTCAGGCAAGATGTTGGAACCTGATTTTAAATCCCTCAATATTAGTATTTACAAACTTCCCAAAATCAAAGGGCTTCCTTACAGGGAAAGAACGAAGAATGAGCTCCTTGAACGTTCTGAATGATATATTGCCAGGAGCAGTAAAGCCATATGACATTATTTCTGTAGATTATTTGCATCATGATGGTTGTTCAATGAGAGCAATGATCACATTTAGAGACCAGAACCTGGCCAAGTTTATCTACAGATCAAGATATATATTCTTAAAGGCCCAGATAAAAATTCTCAGATTTTTTGAAAACAAGGCACCACCGAATCCCCTTCTGGAAGCCAAGCACGCAAACCCTAGTAAGGAGAAACAACCTCCCAAAACCCGGCCTGGTCTCCAGAAACGAGAGCTTCAAAAATTAAAAAGGAAAGATGCCCACCTGCAAGACCTGCAACTTCAAGAGAATGAAGATGAGGATTTTCTTCCGCGGAAGAAAATACCTTAATTAGGCAATTTCGCCATTTTCCATCTCCAATACAAGCTGAAATATTAGAAAGATTGGATATGCTAAGAATTAAGCTGGCTGGGAGAGATACAAACAAGGAAATCAATATGGACGCCCTTAAAAAGGACCAGACTTCCTATAATTTGAACCCTACACAAGAACCAAACCCAGCGGCCTGTCGGCCATGTTACCTTCAGACAATGGCTGAGATTAATTTACTCCCAATTAAGGAAGCCCAGCACACTGAAGAGAACACTACACCACCTCCAATAAAGAGAACCATCCCGAAGGTGAATTCACCAGGCTCTTGGGACAAGCTGAGGTATCTAGATGAGGCGGAATTAGGCCACAATCAGGTTCCGGAAAAACACCTACGGAAAGAGATAACACACTTCAAAGGCCCGGTGACCACTAATGTCAGTATTCAACAGTTAACAGCCGAAACTATAGAACATTTGGCTAGTTTGCCATGTATGGAGAGCAATGGGCCGGCTCATAAAAAGTAATCCCTAAAAGCACCTTGGGAAATAATTGACAAAGATTAGACCAGAGACAAACACCAGCCGGCTCCCTATCTCCGCGGAAATCCGATATCATTAGATACGAACAGACTCAACCCTCACTCACAAATCAAGCAAAAGCAGTTGTTTCCTTGAAAGACGCACCCAACCTACCCCAGAGCCTTAAAATTGTCTCCTGGAATGTTAACGGCTGGGCGACAAAGCAAATGGATCCTGAAGCAATGAATCTCATCTCTTCTTTCGACATTGTATGCCTCCAAGAGACCTGGTCCCAACAAAGTATTGTTCTCCCAAATTATTGCTCCTTTAGCTCCTGTGCTCGTAAACTAACCAACAGGGGTCGCCCCCAAGTTGGCCTCGCCTGTCTTATTTCAACCAGCTTACCCCTCACTATTTGCGAGGAAATTAAATCTTCCCCTTACTTTCTCACCATAAAGATTCATCTCCCAAAGACCAAAAGCCCATGGTTGATAACTACAGTATATCTGCCCCCAGCAATTAATGATTTCGACCGCAATGAAAGGTGGTCTGAACTTTCGTCTTGGCTCCATGATCTCCAAACAACTAACCCAGGACTCCCTCAAATCCTCTTAGGCGACTTTAATGCAAGAATAGGTCCCAACGACGATGATATAATATCTCCCGCAGCACTCCTGGACAATCCCCTGCAGCCCCCCTGGGGAAACAGATGCTCTCTTGATCCTATAACAAATGCGTCGGGAGGCTGATGGCCCAACTGGCCATGGAAAACGATCTCTGCATCGCAAATGGTAACATTACTCCCTTGTCCTCGCAGCAATTAACGTGCATCACTTCCCGGGGAACCAGTGTTGTCGACTACATTTTATTGACGCCGGAGCTATTCTCAATTTCTACAAAAATGGAAGTGGCTGAATATTTTGGTGGTGACCACCTTCCATTGACTCTAATGTTAAACCTAATAGAGCCACTCCCAGTCTCCTCAAACTATAGAACCATGGTACAAAGCCACCCTGTATACAAAACAAAGAAATGGACAAGCCTCAGCTCCTCTCTTGCCCTGGACATACAAAAATCATTTGATATGTCTGCAGTTCCCTCTGATCCAATCCTGCCCGCTGACCAATACCGGAAATTACTTGATGCTTTCTCAACAACTTACATAACCACCACCTCGCCTACTTACCAACGCCTCTTCTCTGAATCGCCCTGGTTTGACAAGGAATGTAAAGCCCTAAGAAGGCGAATTAGGAAAATGGTCAGAATCATCAAATCTTCCAACGACCCCCAAACCCGTGCAAAGCTCATAGATATTAAAAGGACATATAGAAACATGATTCATTGCAAGAAACAGCAGTACATCTTTGAGGCTTGGTCCACTCTTCGTTCGGCTGTAGAGAGGCATGACTCCCGCTCCTTCTGGCGCCTAGTTAGACCTTCGGCACCATTCAATCCAGCTACCCAGATTTCCGCGGATGAATGGATTGCTTATTATTCAACTAGTTTCGCTTCTCCAAACCATCTTACAGATCTCCTTCAATCCCCATTGGACCTCAGTTCCTGCTCTCTTAGTCCCACTTCTTCAATAAACTTTACTTCAACTCGCATTTTCAACATCATAATGTCAATGCAAAGGAATAAGGCCCCCGGCCCAGACATGGTCCCGTTGGACCTTTTCCTGACTGATCCTCTTTGGTGGAGCGAACACCTGACTCCTGTATTCACCGCTATCTCCTCCGCCCTAGACATCCCCGACTCCTGGAGAGAAGCTATAATAGTTCCGATCTTCAAAGGCGGCCAGCCAAACATCCCTAGGAACTATCGCCCCATCAGCTTATTATCCATCCCGGGGAAAATATTTGCCGCTGTTTTACTGGAGGAACTTCTCTCATGGGTCCAGGAGAGGAACATTCTACCGCTAGAACAGATTGGTTTCCGAAAGTCAGCGTCAACCATGGACCATTGTCTAACTCTCTTTCACCTTGCCAGTAAATACACTGCTCCAAGGCAAGGCCACCTATTTGCCGCTTTCATGGACCTGGAGGCCGCCTTTGATTCCATTCCTAGGCAGAGATTATGGTCCAAACTTGCCCATCTGGGAATTGATCCGCACCTTCTCTCCCTAATTATCTCCCTTTATTCAAACACCACAGCTCGCGTCCGAACTAGTCCAAACGGCTTCCCCACTACTCCATTTCCAACGGCCAAGGGCGTCCGACAAGGTTGCCTCTTGGCCCCTTTACTGTTTAATCTCTATCTTCATGATGCAATTTCCACTTTGAAGCTAGCATCTAAGTATCCTCCTCACTTAGCAGGCCACCCCGTTGCTTCCCTTTTCTATGCTGATGATGCCGTCATCTTATCCAGAACAGCTGCGGATCTAGCAAATGCAGTTAATGCATTTATCGCCTATTGTAAGGCGGAAGCTCTTAATATTAATTATAAAAATCGAAAGTCCTCCACTTCACTCGTTCCCGCAAACTCAAGTTGGAGCCGCTTAAGATCACAGGTGGCTACTTAGAAAAGGTAAAAGCCTTTAAATATCTAGGATTAATATTCACCTATAATCTCTCCTGGACCACCCATCTACAATCTGCCTTTCTCGCTGCAACCACGACCTCTAACGCCATTGTCCGATTTTACCACCAGAAGGGCGGCAAACACCTTCCAGCAGCAATTCAAATATTTAATGCCAAAGTCGTCCCTAAATTATTATATGGATGTGAAGTATGGACTACAGCAATATCAGGTAACCTGGATCGTCCACTTCATATGTTTCTGAGATCTCTTTCCGGCGTCCCGAGATGTGTCTCAGGTGCAGCCCTACGACTCGAGTTCGCCCAGCCTTCAATTGCTAGACGAGCATGGAGCCGAGCCATTTCCTACACCCTCCACCTATTAGCATCGGATGCTCGAATTAGAGGTGGCTTTTCCAATCTGATCCTAAGAGATATTCATAATTCCCCTTGGAAAACTACAATTAACCTCAAATTCCGCTCTCTTCTCAATTTGAATTGTAAAACTGTTCTTAACTTAGAGTGTATCAGCCCGGTGGCCCTACCCCTAATTAAAAAGAAACTACAGCAACTTGACTTCTCCAACACAGCTTCTTGTGCAAGAGGACCGTGTTCAGGCCTAGCCCTAGCTATTCCACCCCCTGAAGGGATCCCTCTATACTGCTTCACAATTTCTTCGGAGACTAAGCGAAGGGCTTTTACCTGTGCCCGTCTCAACTGTTTTCCTACAGCAGTTCTGTCGGGTCGTTATTCCAGAGTTCCCATCGCAAACAGAACATGCTCCTGTAATGACACGGCCCTGGAGACTATGGAACATGTAATGCTCTTCTGTCCCAACTGGACAGATGAAAGATCTCGGTTTTTAACTCCCCTCGTGAATAAGTTCCATCTCCCAATCCAGCCTTGGATAGTGTCCCTCTTTTTGCAGGATTCTGATTGTTGGATTACTGAGATGACAGCTAACTTCCTGCTTAGTGTGATGAAGAGGAAAGCGGCACTAACTTCTTCCTTAACACCACAGATGCAGTCGATACGCCGCACAACCGAACGAAGTTCCAAGTAGCCTTATTGTACAAGGACAATCGAGTTAGGACTAATCTGAGGAGCTGAAGGACCCTTTAACGGTCCTCCTCCAGCCTCAGCAGCTTTTTTTTTTTTTTTTTTCCACTTTCTTTAAGTATTCGCCCAGGACGATGTCTACCTCTACCTCCCCACCCCCATTTTATGTTGTTATTTCAATGTATATCATGCTATGGCCACTCGGCTAATGCAATAAATAAATCTAAAGTTGTGGCTATCTTAGGGATTTACTTTTTCTTACCGCTGAGGAAAGAGGGGAAAGGGTTGGAACTGGTCTGTGACACTGATCGTAAATAAAGTTCCTCTGCTGTTGCAGCATGCACTGCTATATTCCTTCTCGCTTTCCCATACCAACATGCCTCTTGGTTCAGCCTCCAGCAGTTTCAGGCAGCTGCTGATTCCAAGGGTGAGACTCCCCTTGGAATTATTTATTGCAGCTCTCAAAGGAAGGACAGTGATTTACTGGACATTTTCTGCAGCAGCTGTGAATTTGCAGCCCAGTGACAGGCCATTCTGTGCAATCCTAATTTTCATCCCGACACAAAAATTAAGGAGCAGTAAGCGGTCCAGGTGAAATGAATGGCTCTCTCACAAAATGCTACCCAAAAAGACCCCATAGCTCAGAGGAACTCAAAGGCCACCTAGGACCCCTTATCTTGGTTCTATGCCACGTAGTCTGTACGCAGAAAATCCCAGTTCAGCCCCAATATCTCCCAATATAAGGGCTTTTTGCTGACAGGATCACTGCCTAATGCATAAAGAACACTGGTGGGTATTATTTCCCCCCTCTTTCTGAGAGAGTATAACCTACTTCACAGGGTTGTTGTGTGGGTAAGATAGGGAGACGGGGAACCAAGCTTGATCTCCTTGGTTGAAAGATGGGATAGAAATGTATGTAAAGTAATGTATGTAAAGAAGTATGGATAACCTGTTAAACTGCCTCTTTCTGGTCCATCTAGCCTTGTATTGCCTGGTTTGAATATTAGAGACTCTTTAAGATGCTGGTAGGGGGAAGAATGTGAGGTGCATAATTAATGGACAGAATAGCAACACTTCTCTGATGAAAATGGGGATGTCCCATTCCATAATTTTACTAATTATTCCCCATACATCTTACTGAGTTGCCCCAGCCACTCTGCACCGCTTCCAACATATATAAAAGCATAATAAAAACATTAAACGTTTTTTTTTTTAAAAAATTGCCTATAGAGGATTGCCTTCAGACGGCTTGGGAGCCAGATAACTCCATACCCTGCAACATTTCTCCAATTAAAATAGGGACATTCTAAGGAAACGTAGGACATTCCGGGATCAAATCATAAACCGGAACAGCTTCTCTAAATCAGGGACATCCCTGGAAAATAGAGACACCTGGAGAGTCTGGAATAGAGGCTTAATCCTTTTCCCACTTGCCAATTTCCCCCTGGAAATACTTCCCCTTTTCACCCAAATCATGGCTCTGAGATTTGGGAATTTCAGCCTAGGAGACAATTGCACGGCAGAATTAAGTGAAAGTAGGAAGTTATATCTCTACTCCTATACTTTGAAGGGATATCAGCAGCACTTTTTTTTAAAGTTAAAAAAAGTGCCGGTACTCACCATGAAGTTGATATAGTAAGTGCCACGCTTTAATATTGGGGGGGAAGGTGTCAGTACTGTGTGCCCTTGAGTACCCCCAGAAAAAAAAACACTGGATATCAGGGATATTAATAACTGCACCAGCAATAAAGCTGCTTATGAAATGTATGAATATCACAGAGATGGACAAATTGACAAATTCTGTTTGAATGAAATACAGACTTCCAACCTCCAAATAACTCCCATTTCTTAGTTACTGGAGCATACACTGTCATTTCATTTCACAGAACAGGAATAAGTTTTGTAAATATTCCATATATTGCATTTTTTTTAAAAAAAACACCCTCAAACATAAGGAATGTTCAGGACCATTGTCCACACTAACAAAACAACATCTATGTCAGAAATCAAAGGGGACGGATTACTGCAGTACTTCTGATTAGAAATATTGTATGTCTGTCTTGCTAGAGTAAAGGAACTATGGCACCCCAGTAAACCATGACGTTGCATTAACAATTAGAAAATGAAGATCTTCTGATCTCCCTTTTAGGAGGCTGAACACATCCCAGTGAATGAAAAATAGCAATTCTCTTACTACATGCAGCACACCAACCTTTAAGCTCCGCATGGTTGAATTAAATTATATTAGAGCATGGTGCTGATAACACCAAGGTTGCAGGTTCGATTCCCATATGGGACAGCTGCATATTCTTGCATTGCTAGGGGTTGGACTAAATTATCCTAAGGGTCCTTTCCAACTTTAAAAAGTTCTACGATTCTGTGATTATAAGAATATGAAAGGGGCTTGTCTGGTTCACGATCTAGGGAGGCTCAATTTACAGGGCACATAAGGATTGTGACAAACTGAGCCTGTGGCCATGGAATATACTCTCATCAGAGTTCTCCTCCCAGGAGATGGCTGTGGAATTGCAAACGTCAGTGGCTAAGTGCTCTCAGGATATAGAATATAAGCAGCAGCACATATTCTTCAGTGTACAACATTGTTTTCTCCAGGGAGAGCCTGTACTCCTCACTGGACAATAATTTATGTGGAAGGGCTCTGGAAGTCAAAAACAAAACCATGCCCTCCACAAGCCACAGAAGAAAATCAAGGTGCACGTCTTTGGGGGCTACACTCTCGCAGGAGCCAAAACAAGACGTCTCAGGATCCAATCAGAAGCCAGGATGGCTTCTGTAATTCTGGGATATCTCGCTTGAAGCAGGACTGCTGAGGGGTATGCAAAACCCAAGAACAAGTGAACAAGCATTCTGAACTGCTAACTGCAAAATATTGGTTCACTGTTATCATTAGAGCCCCATTCAGGCATTCATCTTCTGGGTTAAATTAACATGCAAGAAGGGAGAGTGGTAGCTCCTCCTCACTCCCCTGTTCTCAGCAGCAGAACCATAAAAATGGAGGATCATCTGACACAGCGGGTCACTGTCTGACAAGCTGACCCCGGGGGTACCAAATGGAGTCATCCCTTTGGGGTTATCATTTCAGGGTTGAAATGTGGGTGAGGGCACCAGCCTACTAGGGTTTGGTGTTTTGCTTGCTTGCTTGCTTGCTTGCTTGCTTTTCTTTTCTTTTTATTCCATGGTGGTCTCTGAAGTGGTAACTCCCAAGGGGACAACCTTGACATATATTTATGAAAATGGACAAGGGTGTTTTTTGTAGATGGGGGCATTCAATTTTATGTGATTTTCCCCACTTTCAGTCTGAAGTCTAGGAATGTTTTTGCCTTGTTCATTATGTCTGAGGAAGAGTAGAAGGAATTAATTTCAGAGCGTTTGTAAAGACAAGGAAGGAAAATAACCCCAGCGTTGACAGTCTACTTCAGCTCTTACATACACTATATTGCCAGAGGGATTTGATTATCAACAGATGAGACTCAGGGTCCTTCTACAGATTGTTATCAGTATTGAATGGCACTCAATTGTTATGAAGCTGCTTCTCAGTGTTATTGAAACTTACAGTAGTGTCATTCGCTGAGTAAATATTTCAACGCGAATGGCTTGGTGCAAAGTAACTCATGGCTCTTGATGCATGATATCAGGATCAAATCGTCCAATGAGGCATCTCACGTTATGCTTAGAACTGTAAGGTCAGGGGTACTAAGCAGCCATTTTTACCCCTGACTTTTACAGTTGATTGTCCTGTCAGCTTCAACTCTCATGGAAAAACTCCTTAAAACTGCTTAGAACCTCTGGTGTGTTCAGGTGAATAAATGTACAGCTAATGGTAACAAATAACCTACCATTTAGAGGCACACTGGCGTAGTGCTCTGCTGATGATTTCTCTTGAATTTTTTTGACCATTCTCTATGAGTTAATGAGAAAAGAAATC